CCCCCTCGCCGACACAACGTTCCTGCGGGGGCGCGCGCGTGCCCCCTAATCCCCCGCCTTCCGGCTCCGGCGGCGACGCTCGCTGCCTGCTGTGTGCCGCCGCTGCCGCCGCCGCCACCGCCGCCGCCGCTGACGCCGGTGTCAGCCTCCCCTCGGGAGACTCCATTTGCTCTCAGGTTGGTTTGGCTGCCGCGAAGGCAGGCGGAGAGCGATGCCCCCGGCCCGCGGACTGACGTACCCTGGGCCAAGCGCCCGGCCGCTCGCTGGCTGGCTGCGGCGGTGACATCCTGGTCGCTGGCGTCCACGGAGGAATCCGGGCTCCCACGGAGCAAAGACGTCCGGCGTTCCGGAGCTCTCCGTGCGGGGAGAGGCCCTCGCTAACGCGGCTCCTCTCTGACCTCTTAATTTCAGGAGGTAGGCAATGCAGGTCTCATTCCCTGACACTCTAGATAATGCCTGAAAGCAGTCTGTGTCGTATTTAGCCATCACATTCCTAGGAGGCGTTAGTTTTCTCAACACAGTCGCAGGATAGATGTGGGTAATGCCACAGACCCTGATATTGAAAGAAAAATGTTTTTGGTATCTTCCTTTAGGTTTCGGAGGCTCCGAGTGCCTATACAGCCCCCGACAGGAACTACTACTGTTGGCCCATGGAGGATCATCTTTCACCAGGATTATCGTAACATCTTCACTGAGCCTTCCCCCACCCCATACCCTCTACCATGAGTCCTGTTTTCTGCCAATGAAGTTTTTTGATGCTTTCTTTAATCATGTGACAGCACTTCTTGTCCACCTTTTTCCTTTACAGTTGCCAAACACGAGGTGGAGGTTTGTGTCATGTTAAAGTACACAGTTTCCTGCCTGTCCACTATCACCTGATTTGCACTGCTCCCTTCTGTTCAGCTTGCCTTACCCTGCTTGCTTACGATTTCCATAACCACTCACTTGCACATCGTGTAGCAGCCCTTGCCTGGGGAGGTAGCATTCCATACAGTGCACTGCCTGACAAGGACAGCAGTCAGGGGGCGAGTTTTCCCGTTGTATTTTCCTATCGGGTTTGCAAGCCCTGTCTTCAACTCTTTGTTCCCTAGCACAGTGCCCCAAATACTCCCACCAGAGTCTTAGTTTCTTTCACATAGAGCTTCGCCCATAAGGATGGCAAGAATCAAGTATGTAATGTGACTGTTTTAGAGACCTTGCTGGTACAATATTGGTTGTCATCGCCACTGAGATCGCAGTTCATGAAAAGATCTTGAACTAAGGGAGGAGGAGGCAAGATAGAAGGTAGGATTAAGTGGAGCCAGTCCTTGTTGTTTGAAGTTTGTAAGTTTCAAAACAGCAAAGCAAGAGAGTCATGTAGGCCTTGTCTGGAAATTGGCCAGTACACTCTCCACCTAGGTCCTAGGGGGGCAGGAAAGGGACCTTAAAACCCCATTTTCTAGTCTCATTGTGTCCAAATCTAAGTTGTTACTATCTTGTTCTAGTAATCGTCTAAAATATTAGATACAATGTTGGGGAAACGAAAGCGTGTGGTGTTGACAATTAAGGACAAGCTTGACATTATTAAGAAACTTGAGGAAGGCATCTCTTTCAAAAAACTTTCTGTGGTGTATGGAATTGGTGAATCCACAGTGCGTGATATTAAAAAAAACAAAGAAAGGATAATAAACTATGCAAACAGTTCAGATCCTACAAGTGGGGTATCCAAACGTAAATCTATGAAGTCATCAACATATGAGGAACTTGATAGAGTTATGATAGAGTGGTTTAACCAACAGAAAACAGAGGGGATTCCAGTGTCTGGAACGATTTGTGCAAAACAAGCCAAGTTCTTTTTTGACGCCCTGGGGATGGAAGGTGATTTTAATGCATCATCTGGCTGGCTGACTCGATTTAAGCAGCGCCATGGTATTCCAAAGGCTGCTGGTAAAGGAACAAAACTGAAAGGAGATGAAACTGCTGCCAGTGAGTTTTGTGGTAACTTTCAGGAATTCGTTGAGAGAGAGAATCTACAACCAGAACAAATTTATGGTGCTGATCAAACTGGATTGTTCTGGAAATGTCTACCGTCAAGGACATTAGCTCTTGAAACTGAGCAGAGTATTTCTGGTTATAGGTCAAGCAGAGAGAGAATCATTATTATGTGTTGTGCAAATGCCACAGGTTTACACAAACTTAATCTTTGTGTTGTGGGGAAAGCAAAAAAACCTCGTGCGTTCAAAGGAGCTGACCTTTCAAACCTTCCTGTCACTTATTTCAGTCAAAAAAGTGCATGGATAGAACATTCTGTTTTCAGACAGTGGTTTGAAAAGTACTTTGTGCCACAGGTACAGAAGCATTTGAAATCCAAGGGGCTTCTAGAAAAAGCAGTGCTCCTTTTGGATTTTCCCCCAGCCCATCCAAATGAAGAACTGTTGAGTTCAGATGATGGCAGAATAATGGTGAAATATCTACCACCAAATGTCACAAGTCTCATTCAGCCTATGAGCCAAGGAGTTCTAGCCACAGTAAAAAGATACTACCGAGCAGGACTTCTCCAGAAGTACGTGGATGAAGGAATTGACCCCAAAATGTTCTGGAAGAACTTGACAGTGTTAGATGCAATTTATGAAGTGTCAAGAGCTTGGAACATGGTAAAATCAAGTACCATAACCAAAGCATGGAAAAAACTTTTCCCTGGCAATGAAGAGAATTCAGGCATGAATATTGATGAAGGAGCCATTTTAGCAGCTAACTTAGCAACAGTTTTACAGAATACAGAAGACTGTGAACATGTTGACCTTGAGAATATTGATCAGTGGTTTGACTCTCGGAGTAATGACTCAAACTGTCCAGTGCTAACTGACAGTGAAGGTGCAGAGGACCGGGCCAAGCCTGCCGAGCACAAGCCTTCCAGTAAGACTAGAAAAACAGAACTGAACCCGGAGAAGCATATTAGCCACAAAGCTGCACTTGAATGGACCGAAAATTTACTGGATTATCTAGAACAACAGGATGACATGCTTCTGTCTGATAAACTGGTGTTGCGGAGGCTTCGAACAATAATAAGAAGAAAACAGAAGATCCAGAATAACAAAAGTCATTAATAATCCTCTTAAGGGTTTCGGTGTGTTTGCATCTTTGTGACTTTATCTGCAGTGGAACTTAATTATCGTGTTTGAAGTGCTGTGGATTTCAAGGCCAAATACATTTTATTAATGAATTTAGGATTAGATGCTGTTTTGGATTACTTAAATTACTGTGCTTGAATGTCGATTCTAGGAAGTGAGCATTGACCTGTATCTTGTCTGTTTCTAATCTGTATTATACTAATTTAGATCATAAGGTACCTGAGGCCAGGGATCCTGTGTATGTTTTGTGCCTGAATTTCATTGTCTAATAGAGTACCATGCACATTCTAGGCAATCAATAAATCTTTCTTAAATTGAATTTTTATGACTTTCTCTGAACTTCAGTTTCCAAACTGAAATACGTGGAGGGTAAGTTTCCCTTTCTACCGCAGTTTTTTTCCACCTGCCGAAAATTTTAGAACTCAGCAAAGATTATACTTGAAGGACATGTATTTCACTGTGAAAGCAGAGAACTGAAGGAAAATAGTCTGAAGCCTGAAATATGGCATTTCTATACCAATAGTATTTGGACAATCAGAAATTCAGATTGGCTGTCTCTGTATAATGAAGTAAGAAGAAATAAGGTTAAAACGTCCCCAGGCAAAGGACTTGCACTTCACTTTTATTTCATCTGGCAGTAGGGAGAGTTCCTTCAGAGTTGTGGAAAGAATGCCATCATTGTTCCAGAAAAACAGATTTCATTTTCCAAATCATTGCTATTAGAAGAGAATAAGGATTCAACTGTGTTATCTGTCATTTTGATCCTTTATTAGTAGAGATATGTAAGTAGTTTTTTCTCTTTAATAAGCTATTTGATGTAACACTTCAAAGCTTTAAAGTACGTCATTTGAGGGCTTCCCTGGTGGCGCAGTGCTTGAGAGTCCGCCTGCCGATGCAGGAGACGCGGATTCGTGCCCCGTGTCGGGAAGATCCCACATGCCGCGGAGCGGCTGGGCCCGTGAGCCATGGCCACTGAGCCTGCGCGTCCGGAGCCTGTGCTCCGCAAATGGGAGAGGCCACAACAGGGAGAGGCCCGCATAACGCAAGGAAAAAAAAAAAAAAAAAAAAAAAAAAAAGTACGTCATTTGCTTTCATAATAGCGTATTTTTCTGTGAGAACTAATACCGAGAATATAAGCATACATTGCATTTGTGGAGCCAACCCATGAACTGACATTAAATTGAACGTGAGAAAGGCACTGTAGAACAGCATAGGCTGCTGTGTGACCACGGGCAAGTTACTCGACCCATCTGTAAAATAGGAATAATACCTGCCTCTGAGAGTATTTTGAGGAGTACATGAGTTAATATATGGATTTTAAGTAATACAGGCTTAGAACAGGACCTGGCTCAGAAAAAGTCCTCTAAGTGTTAGCTCCTGTTACCGAGTTGCAGAAATGATGTTTCAGAAGTGTGCTCAACAGATCCAGTGTGTGAATCAACACTGGTGTTGCTGCACTGGGAAAACGCATTAGAGGGAGGTGAGAGAAAAGAGATGCAAGTGACTAGATTCAGCTGAAATATAATAATAATTTACTTCAAAGAAAACTGGAAGGTTAATCCAATTCAGAAATCATTTCCCGACCATCTACTGCTAGGCACAGTGAGGCATGCCGGCACGTTTAAGACATCTTAGTTGGAATTATAAAAGGAAATGGGAATGGAATTGTAGTTTCTTTGCTCCAGGCCTGCAAATAAAATACATAGATGTTGGCTTTGTTCATAGAATCTGTTACTGATATTGGCCTCGTTTACTGAAGTAATAAAATACCTTTAAAGCAGACAAGGTAGCAGTTAGGAGGACACCTGAAATATCAAACTAAAGTAACACAGGATCAGTAGAAAATTAGAGCAAAAGAAATATCACAGGAGACTGATTACAGTAATTAGGTCCAGCCATATACTGGGAGCTTTGTTGTGATTGACCTGAGATTTTAGAAGCTCTGACAGTCCTTCATGAGGACTGTTAAGCTCAGAATTCTGCCTTTTGACAAAGCAGAGGCTTTGAGTTCGAGAAAGACCTTTTCGGAAAACCTCTAAGAATATTTTCTTTGGGAGGATTCATACCTTATTATTAACACACCTCTCTCAGTTTACACAATTTCACTTACTAGAAAGGCCTGAGGAAATGAAACTTTGTGCAGATAAGTCCTGAAACTATTTGGCTTCTTGGAGGCAAAGGGATTCTGAAGCCTGGAAATGGTAATGACATATTTGAATACTGCTTTGCATTTTTCACAGAGCTTTCTGCTAACAAAAACTTCTCAAACTTCTTTCAGTCATGACATTGAAATGGTTTAATCCTGTTTTATCATAAAGACCGATATAAACTGTGCATTCTAATTCCATAATTAACTGTAATACAAAAATCTTTTTCCTTTTCCAGGTATTGTTATATTAATTATATCCTCTAGGAAGATGCATTGTGTTATCTTGGTTAACCCCATGCTCCTTATATGTACCCTAGTTTGAGGAGCACAGAAAATAATGTGCTCTCATTTGACTTTGTGCACCTTAAAGAAAGTATCACAAATTTATTTTTAAATAAATTTATAAATGGAAATTTTCCATTTATAAAAGTGCCTACTTTTTAGAGGATTTGAAAGACAAACAGAACTCAGACCAAATGGGAAGTGTTTGGCAACTGAGAGTATACTTTAAAAAAAACTTGTGTAGTGGGAATATTTACTCTTTCATAATTTAATTTCAGAGAGTAATATAGGGGTTGACTGGAGAACCTTGAGTGCTCAGTAAATGTAACAGAGTCGGCAGGACCCAGATAGTAGGCACAGTCAATTCAAGTAGAATTAGAGGATTGTAATGGTGCTCTTGTCCTGGGACTCTCTTTGTTTTCAATCTAGCTTCAGACTGAGCTCTGTGGTCCCTTCATCATGAATTTTCTGGATTTAAGGAAGCTCGTGGTGGACTCAATGGCACAGTTGACATGAAGCAGGAGACGGCTAGTTAGGTCATGATCTCAGAGACACTCTGCCTCCAGTGACGTGGCCAAAGCCCCCCAACATATTACAAATCAGAGCCAGGACCTGCACTACAAATATAGCCGTCCTTCAGGAGGGCTGTGTCTACTTACTAGTATTTTCACAAAGTTCACCTTGTCTTATTTAAACATACACTTTATCTCCATCCTAAGCAAAATCACAGGTCTTGTGTGCTGACTGCGGTCTCTTTCTAGTCCAAGTTAAAGTAAATATAAAACTTTTTTTTTTTTATAACTTGACAGTCCGTAACCCCAGATTACCTTGTATATCTCATTGGCACATTTTGTGAAACTCTGGCCAAGAAGGAGTGGGCTTGTTGAAGGGTAATGGATTGGAGTACAAACACCAGCTTCTCTGCTTTCTCCCTAGATAACCTTGACAGCTTTCCAGACCTCTCTGAACCTCAAGTTTCTTCATGTGTAAAAGGGTGGCAGGTTAAACGGGCACACTCCAAGTGTTCATAAACACCAGCTATTAAGCAACCCTATGGCTGTTCACTGAGAATCCCTGGCCTCCAGGCTTAGGTCAGAGAATGAGTCACAGTCCTTCGCTCATGCTGACTCTGCAGACCTCCGGGAGGCCTGGGCACCCTTGTTGAGGTCTAGGGCACTGCCTCATCACTGGGAATGCTGGCTGGGTCGCTGCCACAGGTAAGAGGGCAGTGCTGAGTCCCTCAGGCCCTTAAGACTACAGTGTGTGCTGTCAGTCATCACAGGGGCCCATCAGTAAACAGACAAACAGACAAGCACAGGTGGGGCCTGCTTTAGCTGTAGTCTGGGATAACGGGGCTCAAAGAGAAATGGGTTCTTCCAGGCAGCTGAAGGCATCCTTGTGAGGTGATGAGCTCTTATGCTAAAGGCAGAAATGCAAACTGCCGGTGCAAACACAGGGGAAACTGGAGGAGCAGACAGGCGCCCAGCCAGGACGCAGTGCCATCAGTGCGGTCCCCCATCTAGCAGATGAGTCCAGGGGTCACTGGGCCTGGTTTGCCCAGCAGCATCCTGATTTACGCTGGCTGTTCAGAGTAAGTGTTACAGAGCCCTTTTTACTCTCATGTGTCCCAGCTTAGAAGAGAAATTAGGCGGTTTCCCTACCAATGACCCAGAGGAGGGAGTTGATCTGCCTAAGGTCACATAGTCGCTAGGGGCCAAGAAGGGAGTAGAAGCTGCTTCTCTCAGCTCCGGACAGTGGTGGCCTAGTGGCCAAGGGTAGGGGCTCCCTCCAGGCCGCGCCTCCCAGGGCCACACTGCAGTCCTGGAGTCCAACACAGGCCTGCCTGTTCGACACAGGTGGGAAGTCCCGTAGTGAAAGTCTCTCCTGGAGGACAGGGGGTGCGCCCAGTTCACGTGCTGGATTGCTATGTGCCAGGCCTGACGCTGGGCGTTCCCCAAAGCAAAGTCTAGTTTGTGATCCTCAACACCAATCCTGTAAAGTATGATACCCGTTTGAGAAGGAGTTCCCAAAGGGAGCTGGCAGAGACCAACCAAACACTTCTGTCTGAGACAAGGACAGAGGTTGCAGCCCTTGCAGGAAGCTGCGGTCCTCCGTTCCCCCACGGGCATCCGGACTGCAGGAATCCATGAGGCTGTCAGCCAAAACCTTCCTTAAAGCCACTTTTAGCTGGCTGTGTGTAATTCCAGAGAATGCTTCCACCAGGGTTATTCCCCAGGCACCTGAGTATCACTGTAAATCCATCAGGCTCAGGAAATCCTTCAGTGAAGCTCCATGCAACAGACAGATGCAGTCGTCATGAGGGCATCTTTCAAATTTTCTACTGATCAGAAGATCAGGCCCGGGGCTAGAGGGTAGATCCAGCCATGTCTCCACAGGTTATTGGGGTGGCTGACATCCTTTCTACATGGAAATCCCTGGGGGGGGGGGGGCTTATTCTTGTTCCTGGCTCCTCACTGTTCCTCCTGGTCTAGGTTGCCCCAAGAACCAAGCCTGCCTGGCTTGTAGACCCATGTCAAGAACATACTTGTTTAGTATAATTTGGAAAGCGAGAAACAAAAGGTGCTATAGATGTATGATGACGTGTAAGGCATACATACTGTCTTCCACATTTTTTGGTCAACCTAAAGCTGGATATGAAAATATTTAGTGTAGTTCCTTTATAGAACTTCAGGTGTAATTTATGACTATCCCTAGGACTTCAAACATAGACCTTTGGGTTTTTGTATGTTCATAGTGACTCTGTAATGAGGTTATTAGCTAATACCACTGTAACTAATTAAATCACTAGGGGACATGATAGATTAGAGTTACTCTACAGATATTAAAGGAATCAGTGAGGTTTTGGAACATTTAACTTTTTTTTCTTAAATTAGA